ATTGAGAAAGTATGCACCCTAATTAGGTAAGAAAAAGAGGGCGATTCACATTTATCTCATTAATGTTTGCAGTGCAATACGTGAAATTTGCTTCATGTCGTACAATTTTTAATGTTAATTTGAAGGTTTAAGCTAATTATAGTCTTTCTATTTTCAATTTTTGTTCATTATCCTCTTCATACTTACAAATCATTGAAAGTCCTCCCCCTTTTCTTCCAAACCATACTATTGTTCTTCCCCTGCTTTAATTTTCCATTACATTTACTTTCCTCTCTTAACACCATTACCTCACTCCCTTAACATCATTTATAATTCTGTTATCTCGCTTTTAATACCGTTAAATGCATAGCAAAATGTCCATTCTTAATCTCCTTAAAAAAAACTTGTTCCTTTTAAAAAGTATTTGAAAAAATTTATAAATTAAAAATTATGTTAAGAAAAATAAATGTTAAAAATATTATTTTTATTCTCGTTTTATTATATTATTAATATGTAAAAATATATATTTAACCCAAAAAAATTTAAAAATATGTAAATGACTTTATCAAAGAGCAAATTTAAAAACAAAAATTTAGAGAGAAAATTCCCCAACCAAACACTTTCTAAAGATAACCTCTTTCAGGGTCACCACTTGCACAACATGATCGACACCATCACCTCCACCATTGAGAAACTCATAGAAACTTATATATCAAGATAATGATAATGCAATGACGGAGGAGATTGCATAGCTTGAAACTAACATGTTTAGTGCGTTTTATGGTAGATTGAAAGAGATTCATGAGTCCCATGGAAAGCATCTAGCTACTAGCTAGTCAGGTTGTTGATGCCAAAATTTAGTTTAATAACAATATTCACATTAGTTCAAAGATGGGGGATTTAAAAAACGTACTGTACTTCGGAGGATTGTTAATGCAGCTGAGCATCCTTATTTGAGCTTCCCTGAAACAGACACTGGGACATTCGCCTCATAACCTGCTCTTTTATTTTCATTTCATATATTCTCAGGTTGCAACTCTCTCTTTGCCTTTGGCTTTTGACATTCTCATTGACCTGCTTTGAAATTTTCACTTTGTTGCTACTTGTCAATTTAAGAATTTTCTCATTAAATTATTCATATATATATATATGATACATTGAGATTCGATCCGTTTTGGGTTGTGTTTTAATCATATTTTTTCACCTAACAGTTTATAAAAATATTAATTTATTAAAATTAAAGTAATTTTAATTAATATTTTATATAATTTAATAATTACATTAATATATAAAACATTTCAAAAATAATTATTCAATAATAACATAATTTTTTATGATAAAATATTAAAAAAATTACAATAACGACACGTCAAAACAATCCCAGACACTGAATCACAATTTGAGATTGCCCTTTACAAAAACAAAAATTAAAATAAAAAAAAATGTAAATAAAAAGTAAGAACAATAAAAACAAAGATTAGGACCATGTAAGCTCTTCAACTCTCTGTTTCTCAAGGTTTGGTTGAATCCAAACGCAGTGCACCTGTTCTTTTGTCCCATAAAAATCCTCAGCAGAATACCCATTGGAAAAGCTGTGAAATTTTCCGGTGAAAAGAGAATAGAAGATCCCATCTTCACCTTTGAACCTCGGAAAATAAACCTTGTTTTGCATCCCAGAATGAAATTTCTCCCTTGCAGATACCGAAACCGATCCATTTAAACTCACAAACAACATCCTGTTACCTAATTCCTTAACTCTCTTCCACCCCATTGCAGCTCTATCCAGCTTAAACACATCCACTGTTTTTCCTACATGACCCTCAAAGACTGCTACTAATTCTTCATCACACACCGTCAAGTAGCACCTTTTTATTCTTCCACGGTTGGGTGGAATTTTCACCTCATCTAACACAATCCATAAATCTTCTGTATTTACTTTCCCTGGATCGAAGATATGCAGTTTACCATGATGGCTCAAGCAGTGCAACGCCCCATTATAGAAAACAGGGTTGCTGTAACATGGTATTAAAAACTTTTCGTCATAAATATCTTGGAATCTTGTCCAGGTTGATTCACCACGACGAATCCAGCTGAACTTAATAAAGTTAACGGATTTAATTCTTATAGCAAGCACTAGACAATTATGCGAAGTAGGGTGAGATGAGAAGCAGATCATGTTGCACTTGTGCTCTTTCATAGGTAGATCAGGGAGATGGATCTTTTCATTGGTGAAAGGGTTGAAGAACATGATGGAGACATCACCTTGAGTCATCAGCAACCAACCGTCTTTGGAGAACCAGATCTTGGCATTAGCCAAATCTGGGATCACCTTGCTGTAGGTGGTGTTGGCCAGAGGGTTGAAGAAATTGCAGACAGAGGTATTGCGTCCAAGAAACATAAGAGACGGAAATTGAATGATCTCCGTTGGTATGTTTTCAGATTCCCAAGACGAGAGCCATGCGATCTGAGAAGGAACAGAACTCCAGGCCTTACAGACGGCATGGAAACGAATTCGATCTGAACCGAACAAATGGGATTTGATGATGCAGAGGATATCGATTTGGAGATTAGACCAGCATCTCTCCTCTTCGTCTTCAACAATTTTCTTCTGCTCCATCTCAAAACTGGGGGAGATTAAAGCTGTGGACTTAAGGGAGTTCAGCCGAACTATATATAATATAAGCCAGAGATAAATACTAATTGGAATAGGATTAGCATAAATCATATGCAAATCCCTTTTTCACAAGAACTAAAAGAGAAAGTGTTTTTCTATACTGATTATATATATTTTTTACAGTTTGGGTATTGAAATTACCAAAATATTATTAATGAATAAGCATATATAGGGTAGTTTTATTAAATATATTTTAATAATTTTAACATCTAAACTACACAAGAAATTGTAATTTGAATACTTTTCTAACAAGTAAAATAGAAATCTTAATCTCAATCTTAATTTAAATATAACTTCAATAATAGACTATTAATAAAATGAACAGTAATACACTCTCTAATTTGATACACTCTACATCATATTTATTAAAAAATTATTTTTTTAGTTTAAAATGAAAGGTAAAAAAACTTAAAAATAAACTATGCATATAACATTGGCAAATCAATTGACCTACTTGCACTCATATTATATTTTAGTGGCTAAACCAATTAGATGTTGAAGTGTGTGTCAAATTAAGATGTATCCGGATCATTTTAATAATAAATAACAAAAAAGAACCTCATAGATTGGATTCACTAGTAAACAATTGTCCTCTTATAACTAGATCAAATTTAATGTTCAAGTATTGAGGTTAGCACCCAAAAAATATCTTTGAATGAACGGAACCGGTGTAAGGGTGCATCTCTAAGATTGCCTAAGAAGGGATTAATTTGCAATGCGTTAAAGTTGGCGAGCACACTTTAACAATAAATATTAAAAAAGTATTTTTTAAGTTAAATTACAAATTAAAAGTATAATTTGAACACTAAAATTATTAAAATATTCTCAATAAAACTCCTTTTTATATTATTTATTAATAGTAATTTAATCATTTCAATATTTAAAGATCACATTAAAATTACAATCAAGAGAGAAAAACACAAAACTCATAAAATAAAACAAACTGTAGGTTTTTCTCTTAAGACACCTTTTATATCTGAACTTATTTCCTCATTTTCTCTTCCCTTAAAACTTACAATAGTCTTGTTGAAGGGTGATGAGAATTAAAACCTCAATCACCAAAGAGTGCTACACTGCGCAGAAACTCTTCGAGAAATCGCTGTATCTTCATAGAGGAATAGTAATTCAACCTAGTAGAGAAGATGGCGCATCTTCTCATAAACCTGGTGGGTTGATGGAAGATATGGATGGTTTCACCTTCAATCATTTGGAATCACAACAGGCGCAAGGTTAAGTTGTAATGAAACCTGCTGAAGGTGCAAAAAGTGCAATGAAACCAGTAATGATATTGTGAGATTGAGTGGGCCTAGGGAATTTTTGGTTAAATTGTAATAGGAAAATAATAAAGGAATTTGAAAATAATATGGTTATGATATGATGTAGTATTATAAATTTATAATATAGTACATCAGTAATAATTAGCTTTTATTATTTAAGAGTATATATATAATTTTATATGTATATATTTATTTAGTGTCATTTTATATTCATTTAATATTATATTATTATTATAAATTTACAATTATACACGGTATTATAACTATAACATTGTAAAATAATAAAATAACATTGCAACCATGCATACAACTTGACCTGATATGCTAATAGTAGATCTATTAACTAGTACATCTTTTTGCTTAGAATAATAGTAGGTTTTTTCTTTCTTTTTTTTTTGAACAATTTGGACATTATTTACAGGTATATATGGGGGAGGGGGAAATGAGTTTCATGGGGTTCGAACACACCACCCACGAAAATAAACAGCCCTAACCCAGAATCCAATGTCACTGGGCCGAAATGAGCCATTTATAATAGTAGGTTTTTTTTTTAAATAAATAATCTCTAGTGTTATATCCCATATTATTAATTAACTTAATACTAAGATTTTCCTCATATCTTTATATATTTTTAAGGGAGCCTACAGCAAAAAAGTCCAGTAATGATGCTAATAGTAGATCTATTAACTAGTACATCTTTTTGCTTAGAATAATAGTAGGTTTTTTCTTAAAATAAATAATCCCCAGTGTTATATCCCAT